GTGGTGGAGGTGGTGGTGGTCCAGGTAATAGACTAGCAGGTTGCCTTACTGGTGGCCACTGTGGCTGATGATGAGGATGAGAATGATGATGTGGATGTGATGGATAATGCATAATTGATGATGGATAATTATTAATATTATTATTATTTTCACTAAGTTCTTTATCATCATTATAACTAGCTGAACGACGTCGTTGATGATGTTTATTTGAACGTCGTTTTAATGATCGATGTCGACTTCGACTAGATCGTTTATGTGATGATGATGATGATGAGGTAGAAGAAGATCGTGACCGAGAACGAGATCGAGTACGAGAACGTGATCGCGTACGTGATCGTGTATGTGACCGTGAACGAGTTCTTGAACGTGACCTTGATCGTGACCGAGATCGAGAACGAGATAATGAACGACTAGGAGGTGAAAGAACAGGTTGTTTTGATGCAAATGATGGATTTATAGAATTTTTTAATTCATCAATTAATGTCATTGAAGTTGTTTTTAATGGTCGATTTTTGGATGTTAATTTATTGCTTGTATCTATTGACGAAGCTGTTGTTAGTTCAGCGATTTTAGAAACAGCTAAAACAAAATAAATTTTAAAATCTCATAAAAGTTAAGAATTATTGAACAAACCTGTTCCATTGGTTGTATTTTTACTGTTATTAGCATCAACTATTGTATGATTATTATCACTACTTTCAGATTGTGTTCGATGTTTTGGACTATCAATATCCATTGCTACACATTCAAAATCATCGACAGATGCTGATGGTTCAATGAGATTATCTTGGTATGTTCCAGCATTTGAAGCAAGACCTAATGATGCTTTTTTCTGACGTTTTAATAATTGTTCAGTTCGACTATCTGCTGGAGGAGGTGGATTTATTGTATGAGGTTCATCAATTTTTGATAATTCTTCATCAACAGCACGCATATTTTGATGAAAAAATCGTTTAGCATTCGACTCATCTTCTGGTTCTTCATCGGATGATGCTGAATCCCAAATATTAACCTTACTAGTTGTCCAAGGTTCTTGATAATCATTAGATAGTGAAGATGGAAGTATTGACTGTGGATTCATTAGATTAGATAAAGAACTTGGTCGTATAAGAGATTGATTGTTACGAGAATCATTAAACGGTTTTGTTGGTTGAGGTATTGATCGTGATGGTTGAAATGGTGGTGATGGTGGGGGATAGAGAGTTGACAATGGACCCTAAAAATTATATTTATAAAAGAACGATTGTATTGAAGTATATTATTTACCGGTGATAGTGGTGATTGAGATTGTGTATTTTCAGGACCAATTGAATTAGTACGAGAAAAATTGGATATTGAACGTGGATTATTATCTAGTAATGATGGATAACGTTGATTTGATATAGATGTTTGCTTTTCAAGTGTCTTATCTATAGTAATATCAAGATCTGAAGGTGGTGGTGATGGTACAAATGGATCAGAATTATCAATAGGATTTATTGGAGGTCGATTTGGACGTTGTGGTGAACGACGTTTCGGTGACAGTCGTTGAACTTTAAGAAGATTATTTTTTTCTGATGTATTTGAATCTTTAATATTCGTGAGACTACTGCTTGATGTAAGACTCTTTGATAATGTTGGTTTTTCTGACGGATTTTGTTTATTAGCTGGATTTAATTTAGGTATTTTTCCTAGAGTAACAGGAGGTTTTTTAGTTGGTGTTAATTCAGTAGATTTTTGCGGTGTTGTTGAATTTGAAATATCTGACGATTTCTTCTCTGTTAGTTTAGATGATGAAGGTGGTCGAATAGGTTGTTTTTCACTGTTGTTATTATTCATTGGCGGTTTATTTATTGGCGTTTTAATAGGTTTCTTTGTTGACAAAGTAGATGTTGGTACTGGTTTTTTAGGAGTAATCACTGTTTCTTTTTGTACAGTCAAAGGTCTAGAAAAAAACATTTATAAAAGAAAATAAAAATTATACTATATATTGAATACTTTTTTATTGTTTTTTGCTCAGTAGATTTAATTGTTTTAATATTTGTGACTGGTTTTGTATTCTTTGTAGGTTGTACTGATGAAGGCATTGTTTTCAAACGTACTTTCACTTTTGATTGATCATTAATAACTTGTGATGATTTATTATTTGATGTATTAACATCAGCTAATGTAGTAGATTTACTAGTTGTATCTTCTGTAATCGGACGACTTTCATCAATGACAGATGATTGTGGTTGTGATAATACAGATATACCTGGATTTTGTTCTATAGATATTGCACTTGAACAATTTGACATAGATGATTTCATAGTATTTGATTTTTTTATTGATTTTGTTTTTTGTTGAACAGATTCTTCTTGACGATTCTCTTCACTAAGTGAACGGCTTGAACATCTTGTTGACATTGTTAATATATTAACTGATGTATCATTGATAGTTTCATTCCTGTTATCATTCAAAGATTGTATTGGTTTTTGAATTGTAATTCTAGTTGATTTATTAGGTGATTGAGAAGATAAAGATGATTCTGATTGATGTATTGGTGATTCATCAAGAGATGAAGAATTTGATTGTTGATCATCACCTGTTTCATCATCATAAATATCTTGTCGATTACGATATTCTGAATTATTTTGAACTGGTCGTGGAACTGTTGCTACAATTAATGGTTCATCTTGATCATCACTACTTTGTGTTCTTTCTTTTTCATTATTAATCGGACATGTTGGTGATGCTTTATATTGTCCATCAATTTTTTGAATTTTTGTTTTTATTAATGATTTTTGAACATTATTATCTGATGCGGAATGATGATGATTATTATGTGAAGATATTGAACGTTTACGTAATCGTGTTGTTAAGGCAATTGTTGTTGAACCTTCTTCCATTGGAATGTCTTTTATTTATTACCAAACAGTACTAAAATAATAAATCAAAAATATTTAATTATTCAAAACAAAAAAATATTTTCATACCATTTAAACATTGAAACTGAATAAAATAAAAAAAAGATTTTTTTTTTCTGTTTTATTATATTAAGAAGATTTAATAATCTAAAAAAAAAAGATTTCCACATATTATATTATTATTTAATAAAAAATTAAAATTAAATCTGACAAAAAGAAAATTTAGATAATTAATGGCTGTTTTTTGAATGCTAATTCTATCATTGTTTGAGTTTGTATCCATAAATCATCAATTAATTTTATGTTATAAACAAATGAGGATGGTGAACCTTCATCACAATTATTATAATAGACAGTGGGTTCATTTAAAATATGTTTCATTATAGTACAAAATATTGGTGTTGCAGCTGCTTGTTGCTAGATGAGAGAAGAAAAAAACAAATAAGTAATTAATTTAGAGACTTTTTTTTACTAAAGATTTAGCAAATGGACGTGTAAGTAAAACAAGAAATTGATATGCATAAGAATTTCGAGTTAATTCCGAATTAATTGCATTGCCTGGATGACAAGAAACTGCATAGACTTCTACAAAAGAAATTCTAATAGAAAAGAAAAATATAATTAATTAAATAAAAACAAACGAGGCTGATTTCGACGGAATGCTGCAATAAACATTATTAAACAAAGTTTTGATTGACCATATGCTAATAAATGATCAAAATATTGCGGTGAACGAGGACTTAATCGATCAGTAATAATTCCATTTATTATTGAAATTCCTGGACTTCTAAATAATAAAAAACTTTTCCATTTAGAAAATTTCATAAATATTTAATTAAATTTCTTTACTCTACTCGATGTGATTCACAACTAATAGCAATAATACGAGGTGGACTATCCGTTTTTGTTGCTAACATTGGTGCAAGTAATCCAAAAGCAAGATAAGCTTGTGACAAATAATTAACTTGAAACATTTCTTCATAACCATCTTCAGTTAATCGAAATGTGACATTTAAAATACCAGCATTTAATACAAGAATATGTAATGGTCTAGAAAAATATTTATATTTTATATAGATATAATATTGACAAAAAAGATTCTTACAAACGTTCTTGTCGATATTGTTCAGCAAATTGTTTCACATTACGTAACGAACATAAATCTAATTTTCTACAACTAACATTTGCATTTTCCTAGAAAATTTGAAACATATATAGGATAGATAAGAGATTTCTTTACCTGTTCTTTTCGAATTTTTGAACAAGCAGCTTCACCTTTTGTCATATTTCGACAAGCTAATATAACTTGACAACCATGTTTTGCTAATGAACGTGTTATTTCAAAGCCTATTCAATATATTTCGATTAATCTAATATTATTTTTTAAGAAAATACGATATCTACCTATACCAGTATTAGCACCAGTTACAATTGCTGTTTTATTACTTAAGTCAATACCATAAAGAATTTGTAATGCACTTGATTGATGTCCATAATTTGTACTAGATTCTTTTTTAAACATTAATTGAGGATCACCAGTTGTAAAACATTTATTTTTCTCACTAAATCAACGAATTTTTTTTTCATCTTCAAACAATAAATCATTGAACATACTCAACATAAACAACAGTACCATTTTTTTCAACAACTTCTTTCCAACCAGTTGGTAATTCTAATAAACAAAACAAAAAAGAACGTTTTTTTTCGATTAGAATTATTGAATATGAACCTTTGGGTATAAATTGAATTTGTTTAGTTATTGGATGTTCCCATTGAGTTTTTTGTGTATGATGATCAATATAAAATACTCGTCCATCACTTGTCTTTCCTGCTTCCCAATTAGCTGGAAGTTCATTATCAGTTTTTTCGTTCATTTTTATAATTTTATCTAAAAAAAAAACAAAACGTTCTTTATTTTGATCCGTACTAAAAAAAAAGAAAACATCACACAACGATAACAAGCATGAAAAGTGTTCATTCAAAAAGGGCAAGACTTGTTCATTGTCTTGTTTCACGTGTCTTTTTCAACTAAAACACCCGAATCTTGCGGTTCTTTTTTCGCTATTCCCGACTCATTATTATTATTAGCAGATTTATTTGTTTGTTGTTGTGTTGGTCGTTCATGAGAGAAATGTATATCATATTTTTGTTTATAATTAGCTAATTCTTTTCCTTTCTCTTCAGTTTTTTGTTTAAAACTTTCAATAACATTATTTATTTGTTCACGATTAGCTTGAAGAGCTGGAACAACTTCTCCAACAGTATGTTCAATAAGAACACCACCAATCATTCGATAACATCGACGTTGTTTATCTGTTATTGTTGATAAAGTCGAAAGTACAAGATCATGTTCTTTTAAGTCCATTTCTAAATCTTGAGTCTTTTGTACTAATTGTGTTTGTTCATCACGTAATGCTTGAAAACCTGACACAATTTTTTGTTGTTCATCAGCTGATAAAGCTGGTTTTTTTCCTGATGCTGCTGTTGTTGTAGTTGTTTTAGTAGCCATCTAGAATAGAATCAAAATTCTCTTTACAATATATTTGAGTTTTTTAAAATTTTATTCATTTTCAATGAGAAATGAATCTTTACTATTAATAATTATATAAATTTCAATAGAAATCTATTAAGATGATTGACGTTAGGAAATTATGGATGACATCATATTGAAAAAAAATAATCTTTTTTTTTTGAAAAGACAAACAAACAAGAAAGCAGAGAAACAAACATATATAAAATGTACCAATAAAAATTTATATGAAAACCTCTAAAATTTGATAATAAATTTTTATTTGAACATAAAAATTTTCTAAAAGATTTCTTTTTTATTATTATTAATATAAAAACAGATCGTATTTATTAGAATAGATGTCGTTAAATGATTGTGGTCGTTGTCAAGAGAACGATGAAATTGATGGAACATCATGGACCAATAAAATATTTGTCATCTATTTAATACAAAGATTAGTATTTTGGATTAGAATTAAAATGCCAGAAGATGATTTTGATAAATCATTTTCAACTTTAATCTCAAAATTAGGTCATCCTGTTGAAGAAATACGTCTTCGTGCACTTGAAAATCTTCAAGCTAAATTAGATTTAAAATTAGTTGCTGATGTTGATATACTTCAATATAAATATTTATATATTAAACTACTTGAATGGTTTAATTTTCCATCACCACCTAAACGAGATGCTGTTCTCGATATAGTTTTAAAACTTTCAAAAGTATGAATTTGTTTTTTTTGGTTTTGAAAAAATTTAATTTTTTTTATTAAGAATGAATCAGCTGCATACAATCTTCATTCAATTGGTGCTGTCGATTTTTTTAATGCACTTCGAATTGATTTAACACCTGAACTTGAACGTCGTGTTGATGAAATTCTTGAAAATATTCTCTCACAACATTTTATTACTGAAGCAACATCGAATATTAGTCGAACAAGTTCAAGTATAGCATTTGTTTTTGTGTTTTCAATTTTAAGAATTTTATTTTAGCATCATGTCAACTTTTAAAATCAAATACTCAAGTCGAATCGGCAAATTCAACCATGTTTCAATTACCTTTATTTAATTTAAGTCAACAACAACCACTAGAATTATCATCTCGTCGATACGATACAATTAATTCTACTTCACATAGTTTATCAAATCAATCGAATACACGAGGAATATTAAAAATAACTGCACCATCAGTTTCGGATCTTTTATCGACATTAGGTGGTAAGGAACGAATTCCTTTTTGTTTTTATAAAAGAAAATTTTGTTTTAGATAATCATAATCAATCTACATGTCAATTTATAACATTATTTCCATTGATTAATTTAACACAATCAGATCGAACTGTTCTTACAAATTTAGAAAAGTAATATTTTCAAAAAAAATAAATTGAAATAAATTTGATTTTCTATTTATTTAGTACACTTTTATTACGAGATGATCCTTCAATTGTTATTAGTCATTGTCATTTTTTATCAAATGTAGTTCTTAATGATTTTCCAGCCGAACTTTTTCTACAAAGATCTTTTATTCTCAAGCGTTTACTTGGTTTATTAAATGAAACTAATGAAGATCTTATTAAAGCATCACTTTCATGTTTAAAAGATTATACAATTCATTTACAAAGACGAATAAAAATTCTTCGTGATCCAGCATGTTTTTGTCCAAATCTCGATTCTAATTCAGGTAAGCAGATAAATCTAAGAATAAACTAAAGTGAGACTTTCAATATATTTAGATGGAACAAAAGAACAAACTCAGGATGATTTTAATAATACAATAACAAGTGCTCGATCTGTTTCTTCAATTAATTCAGCAACATCAAATGGTTATCGTTATCCTTCTCAATGGTAAAAATATATTTAAAATTCTAATAAAAGTTATTTTTCTATAAATAGGTCTTTAAAACATGATGAATCTCCTCAACTGGATCAACCATCATCATTTGATATCTTAGATTTTTGTTATACAATATTACTTGGAACATTTGATTTATTACGTCGATCAACATTAAAAGATTGTCTTCATATATGTTTACAATTAAATAATTCAATATGTCAAATAATTGATTTATTTGTTAAACATAATTATGGATTAATGAATGTAAATATAAAAATATAATTTCTTTTTTCAAAAATTATTTTCTTCGTTTTTAATAGTTTGAATATTATTCTGTATTATTTTATCGTTTACATTCATTGATTAAACAACAAATAACAATAGGTTATACATTTCAAAGTCGAACAGTATATATTCATAGTTTACATGTTTTTTCAACACTCTTACATACAATAGAATGGTCAGATGAGGTTATTATTCAATTAACACAAGAATTTAATGAATTAATTTATTATATTTTAATGGATGAATGTTTTAATTTATCCTATCCACATATACGAGAACGTTTATTAACTATCGCGGAAAAATTTGATAAAGATAATTATCAAGTTTATATGAAATCAAATGATGTTTGTTGTTCATTTGCATCTGCTTGTCAAATTTTAACACTCGATGAAAATAAATCTCAAGTAAAATATATTTTATCATAAAACGAAAAAAATCTTCTATTTAATTTTATTTTATCTAGAATTTTATTCCTATTGTTAAACATGCTGACGAAGCTTTATTAGGTTTACCTTATCATTTAAATTTTAATGTTGTTAAACGATTGATTAATATTTGTTCAACAAATATATCGAAATGTGATATATCGGAAAAGAATTATTCCACTGATATTTTAATTAAATATATGACAAATGAATTAGCTGAAATACGTACCGCTGTTTATTGTTCACTAGCAATGCTTGTTGCGGTAAATATACATATTTTTAAATATATTTTAAAAAGGAAGATTTTTTCTTTAGAGTCGTTTAACAGTGGAAGAAACAGTTAAAACGAATAAATTAAAGAAAAATTCGACTATGGCTGTAAATTTTGAGGAAATACAATTTATATGTAATATTCGAATAATGACTGAATTATGTGTTAATGGTATGAATGATTTAGCAACAAAAGTTGCGGATTATTCTCGATTAATTCTTCTTCATCTTTTTCAATCCAAATTAATGGTATCAAAAGAATTTTGGAATAATCTTATGACTATGATTGCTGTACTTTTACCACAATTACAAGTAAGAAGAAGATTCGTTTGAATATATATAATTATTGTTTTGTTTAGTGTTATGCAAATAAAATTGATCCACTTGGACAATGTATTCTAGCTTTATCATCAGATACTGAAAAAGAGAAAGAAAGTTTATTAACATTAAATCAACGTTTCCAGGCATCACTTCGATATTTATTTTCAAAAGATAAAGAGTATGTATAAGAATTAGAAATATTTTAATTGATCTCTCTTTGTTTAGTGTTCGAAAAACAGGCTATCGTCAATGTGTTGGTTATTTATTAGCAAATACTCGTATAAGACTCGATGATTTTTATCAATTTTATCCAGCTGATAAGTTATTTGATTTATTTATAACTGCACAACCAACAAATAATGCCGATATATTAACGAAAGAATATGTCAATGTAATTTTTTCAATAAAATTTCGTGAACCCTTATATATATTTTCGTATTTTTAGGTCGAAAGTTTTCTTCGTGTTTATACTATTTTTACAGATCGAAATAAAATCGATGCTACTGTTCGTAAATCAGCAGTGGAACAAATGTCAATGATGTTAAATGATCCATCATTACATTCATCATTTCTTAATCATGGTGGTTTAGAAAGAATATTAGAAGAATTAAAATTAAATGTTAAACGTGATGATCTTATATGTCAGACGGATTATACATCAATGATACCACCATGTGCAAAAATAATTCGATTATTAATTCAATACAATAGAAGTATACAAAAGAAATTTTCATTAGACAATGAATTACTTAAACTTTTATTTAAAAGTAAAGAATGAAATCTTATATGTATATTATTTAAAAACCTTTTTTAGCAATTGTCTGTTGTCATAGTGATCTTGAAACTGTATCAAATTTAGCACATACATTTGTATTACTTCTTTTTGATCGAACTTTACTTACAAATTCTTTAACTGATCAAGAATTTCAACAACAAACATTTTCTATTGATTTTCTTTTAGCTAAAAAGTAAATTTAAAGAGAAATATGTTTTTTAATCTTTAATATCTTAGTTTTCAATTTCCTATTCGTGCTCCAATTCAAACATCAACTTCATCCATAATAACAACATCTCTCAATCGTCCCGATCCATTACGAGAAGCAATTGTTCAACAAAAATTTCGTTTTGTCTGGAATACATTATGGCACGGAAATGCGCAACAATTAGATCATGATATGGATACAACATCATTTAATAATGATGAACAAGTCGAGTATGTCTGACAATTACGAATTATTTTATTACGTATTTTCTTTAGTTTTCAATCTAATATGATATTAAATGAAAATGATCAAAAATGTTTTTCATTAACATATACACGACGAACAATAAGACTTCAATTAAATTTATTAAATGAATCAAATAATCATGAATCAGTTATTGAAACATTAAATGCAATACGATGTCTTCTTTTACTTGTTACACATGATAATGTTCATTTAATTGATTTTAATCAATTAGGAACAATACTTGATAAGTAAGAATAGAATTTATAGCTCCGAAAAAAAACATTTTCTTTTGGTTTAGATATTTTAAAATCATTCCATCATCATGTCAAGATGAAAAACTTCTTCAATCTGTATTTGAACTTCTCGAACAAATATCCTATGGTTTACATTTATCAATAAAAACTGATGATCATTTATTTTTCGATTGGTTTAAACATATATTATTAAATCCATTTTTATCATTACTTGCATCAAATAAAGATTTTGGTGAAATGCGACAAACAAAAAGGTTTTTTTTTATTCTACATAATTTGATTATATAAATATTTTTATTTAGGGATTTATTAAAAAAATTATTTCGATTTTTAACATCATTTTATTCTCATGAAATCGTTTCATCAGAATTTTTTACTGAAAAACTTTTTACAAATATTTTTTATTATATTAAACAAAGTAGTAGTCATACATTTTCAAAATTAACATTAATTACTGGTGCCATTGATGTTTTACATCAAATAACATCGAAGTAAACTATCTATTTTAATTGAAAATTTATTATTTTGTTTTTATAATAGATCAAAATGGTTTATTATTTTTGAAAATGAATATCTAAAAAATATAGCTGATGTATTAATTGCTGTATGTGGTTTTAATTTTCTATAAAATTTATTATTAAATTTTCTAAATAAAATAGGTAATTGAAATATTTCAAGAAGGACGAAAAGAAGCCTTATCAGGATTTATGGCTCATGCTTTGATACGATCATTATCTCAAACATTATTGAATATAATATTAGCATTAAAAAGTACACTTTCAATATCAAATCGTCGAAAAGATATAGTTAATAGATCATAGTTTGTTTCATATTAATAATGTATTTTTTTCTATTAATTTAGACACTTTTACAAGAATGGCTTGAATTATCAAGAACAACATTTGATTGGTTACGGAATTTATGGTTTTCTTCAGATACTGAAATTCGTGTAACATCCTATGCATTAACATCCATTTTAATTAGTGATGAATGTGGTCGTGAAATAATATTTTCACCACAAAATCGACTTGAAGAAAGTCATTTACTTGGAATTCTTCTTGATGAAGATGAATGTAGTCTTGTTAAAGAACAAGTATGTAATATTTTAATTAATTTAACTTACATATTAATCGATGATGAAACAAAATTAGCAACAGCAATGATTACACTTCCAGAATTAATAACAGCATTGAATGATTGTGATTTTATGCAAAGAATTGGTTCAAATGTGCTATCAAATTTATATCCATTTGTTGCATTAGATTTAGATGCACTTAGAATTAATCATACAACAACATCACCTGTTTCACCTTTATTTGTTGCAAATTTATGTTCATTTTTATTTAATTTGAATATGCTTGGAATTCATAATGATACAACAGATTTAATCAAATTAATTCTTTCGTAAGTTTATATTTTAATTTATCTAAAACCATCTTGAGGGTTTTATTTAGTTTTCTTGATGTTCGTCCATTAGAATCGAAAATGAATACCAATGTAACAGCACAAGAATATCGTTTATTTCTTGATAATATGTTTTATATGTATACAAAAATTGCTCAATATTTACGACTTATATTTGAATCAAATACAGATATTATCAATGAAATATTTAATAATGAAAATTTAATTCAATTAATTTCTTTACTTGCTTATTTTCCAGAAAATAAATCGAATCAATCGGAAAATTTTTGGCAAATTAAAATTAATCTTGCTCATTTAATTATTCATATTTTACTTCAACAATGTTCATCATTACATCAATTAATAAATAATACTATTGTTCAACATGCTTCAGCACTTTTCAGTAAACTTCTTTCTTTTTTTGAAATCTAAATATTTGTTTTTTCTTTTTTAAAGATATACTTACTTTACCATTGCATACAATGATTAATGGTTCGATTAGCGTTGCTATTTCTATAATACTTCAATTATTATCACTTTCAATTGCACAATGTACATTAGATCAAGAAAAAAATATGTGGAAAGATTTTTTTGATCAATCATCGGATAAAAATGGAATAAAAATATTCGATCAATTGTTAATATTATATGAAAATCGACTTAATACAGAATCGAATGATACATTAAAATTAACTGTGTCAAATATGATTAAATCATTATTAAATATAAATGTTACAGCTAAACAAGAAGCTATTGAAAGTAAGAAAAAATAATTTTATAACTAATGATCATTTGTTTTATTTTTTAGAAGGTTTTGTTGAATCTCAAATTGATCATCTTAAACGTATTCAAACAAAATTAACTCTTTTCTCACTTCAATCAGATAAATGCGTTAGCAAAGTAAATCATTTATTAATGCTAATTATTTTTAAATTACTGATTTAGGATGAGACTCTGATTGATGAATGTGTTCAAGTATTATCAATTCTTAACAATCTTGCATATGATTGTTCTTCTGCTAAAGTAAGTTTTTTACTTTTAGATAAACGATACAAAATAGTAAGTCTGTTTTTATTTTCAATCAGGATATTCTTGCTGCAAATGGTTTAATTCCATTTCTTCATCAACTATGGTGTTGGGCTATTGTTGATGTTCAATTATTAAATGTTATTCTTCTTCTTCTAACAACACTGACTGCTAAACATCGCAAAGGTTCATTGTTCTTTTATATTAAGAATTTTCATTTTTTCTCTCTGTATATCAATAGGTTGTGTTAGTGTATGTAGTACAGTTCTTCCATCGGCAAATTCATTTGTTGTTCAAACACCTGATCAACAACGTCCATTATCAAATTTATTGTCTTATGTTCTTCGTCTTGTAACAAAAGCTACATTATCATCTGTAGTAAATAATGCTACATCAAGTAAAAATCAAACAATTGAAATAGCATTTGATATCATACAAAATTGTTCAACTGAAATTGAAGGAAGAAGTATTGTTTATAAATCAAATTTTTATCAAATATTTATTGATCATTTTGAACGTGTATCACGTGATATAAATCGATATGATCGACGTTTTCTTGATGTTATTATAAATATAACATTTTTTAATGATGGACAAACTAGTATACTTAAAAATGCTGGTAAAAATAAAACAAATTAATATATAATGATTTTATTTCATTGAATATATTTAGAAATGTTTGCTATTCTTATTCGTATTGCTCATTCATCATCATCGTCTGTTTTACAACGTCAAGCACTTCTAATTCTTCGAAATTTGGCTTTCTCATCTACACATAAAGCAAGAATTGTATCTGAATGTAAGTGTATGTATATTCCGTTTGAAAATATTGAGACTTTATTTAATTTTAGCTAAATATGTTCCAACAATAATGTCACATGTTGTTTCAAAGACATCAGATACAGCTTATATTGGATTAACAGCTTTGTGGGCATTGATTGTTGATGCTCAAAAGGTATGAATTTAAATGTAATGTTCTGTTCTAAGTTTACGTTAAATTTTAGGGCAAAGTAGCTGTTCGTAGTAGTAATGTATTACCTGCTCTATTTGATGTTAAAACTCAACAACGAAACAAAGAAAATCTTTTATGTTATCATGCTGTTTCAAATGTTATTCAATTATTAACAGAAGATTAGATCGTTCTTTGTTTATACATGTAATATTTCGTAGTTTGCTAATAAATGTGTTATTTCTACATGTAGAAGTAGAAAAAAAATTTTTTCATGAGATTCTTTGATATGACTAAATTGAAAGTAAGAATAGTGTTACATGATAGAGCTGAATATATGTTTACTAGTCGTTTTCTTTCATCGGAATGATTTATTGGAGATATATTATGTATAGACAAGTAGAAATTAAATCATGACATGTTCATATTTATGGATACATATTTTCGAAGAATTACATAATTCTTAGAAAAAAACTAATCTTCATCATATTCAATATAAACAATTATTTAATTATACACATTTTCGTTTACTTGATCAAATATTTGCTGGAAAAATACGTATTTTACATTGGTTTTCAATGAATTGTCATTTAGGAGATAAAGAAAAATGGAAAAAATCAAAGACTTTTACTTGTATACCTCAAGGAATTAGTCAATGGTTAGATCAACGTTATTATATGCAACGAATGATTATTGGATATTTACTTCTTTTAATAAAGATAATGGAATTTATCATGTAATGGTCGTTTACGAAATATTTCGAAATGTTTTTATCAATTAGATTCAATTGATCAATGGAGATATTATTTACATATAGCAAGAAGTAAATATGTTTTATCACCACCAGGGAATGGAATGGATTGTTATCGTACTTGGGAAGCACTTTATATTGGTTCAATACCAACCGTTATGAATACATCTATAAATTCGATTTTTCAACAACTTCCTGTACTGATTATTAATAATTATGAAGATCTGACTTTTCGATTATTAAAAGATTTTTATAATACTACGATATATCAAAAGTATGATCATAGACGTTTGTATATAAGATATTGGCAAAATCAAATAAATTCTTTTCGAAATTCTTCACAACCAATACGAATTCATTATACTTCTTTGAAAGATTAATTTTATCTGTAAATGTAAAGCTATTAAAGAATGTTTGAAACAATTATTAGTTGTTTTCATAATGTTCCATTTGAGAATCTATATGAGTAACAAATGTTATATGTCATCTATTTACTCGATTCATATAGGGAAACATAGGTCGGAAATGCTGTACTTGATCGATTATTGCAGATCGATGGTTGACAGTATATCCACTTGCATTTTTTGATATGCTATGTAACTTTTAATTTCCTATAAAATGGTAAACAAATACTGGAAGAATAAATTAAGCTTCAAAACGATATGCCGGTTATCTTGATACAATTTCTAGTCATGATTTGTGACTATAACATATAGTGGCGTAACCAGGATTTGGAGAGTGGTTGGGCAGCGCCCTAAGGATTCTTCAAAAGGGTCTTTATAGTGAGAGATGATATTGTTTTTCGTAGAGCAAACGTATAATGGTACATTTATCTTCAAAATACTTTCTAAAATAATACCTCGCCTGTTTTATAAAAAATACAAGAGTTAGTTGGATTGACATTTTCTGTTATTAAGAAAAAATACATGTAAGAAAACAGTAAACCTCCTCCCCCTCTCCTATATCAGAAACCTCCGGAAGCTTCTAGTTTGTCCACCGTTTATAATTTCTGGAGGGACTTCTATCAAGTTCCAAAAAGTTTTCATAGACTATGATAAGGAACTCGATTCGAAAGAGTTCTAGAAATTTTCAAGGTTTTCATGATTTTTTCAGAAGATTTTAGGCAGTTTTTCCAGATTTAAGCACAATTAGATAGGATCTAATCGAAATTTCACCGTAAAATCGAGAAATTTTAGCAGTTTTAGCAGGAAAATTTGGAAAATCTCAAAAATTATAAAATGTCCTTGGAAAAATCAGGGGGACTTCTAATACGTCAAACACGTTGTTCATCTCAGAGTCGACTTCTATTATAGGGGAGAAGACTGAGCCCATCTATTGTTATTTTGTCGGATACAGTCAATAAAGTCATATCGAAACTTTTCTTAGCTATTTAAACTATTTGGTTAGAAGAATTTTTTGAATGTAATGATAAACTGAATATGCATATTACATTTAAGATATAAACGCTTTTATAAAAGATAGTGACGATCAGTAATCGCATATAAATAAAAAAGTCAATTTTTTAAAAAATGAGCGGTGGTTGGGCGGCGCCGAACCTAGCCCGCCCTTGATTACGCCACTATAAAAATATAATATTTATTTAAATATACATGTACACAATATTTATCCTATGAACTATTCGGATATATCAATTCTTGATCTAATTTAATTGATCTATCGAAGATTCTATTAATTATAATTTTATTCACGTTATTTTCATCATAGTACCGATTTGTGATGTTCAAAAAATTAAGATTAATTCGTATGTAATTATCATTATGATGAATATATACAAAAACGTGATTATAGTTCATTTTTATAAAAATATCTCTCTATCAATATTTTATAATAGAATATTACATATTTCAAAGATGAAAAATGAAACTAAATACCATTAAATCATCATAATTGTTTTATTGAAATATACAGTATTAACGAGTAATTTGAGTATATATGTTTATTAGATCTGATAAAACTTGTTTAGGTTAATCTCAATCATATTTATCAATGAACATAACAACATTTCACAATGTCTTATCAATTCAAATTTTCCATTGATTTAACAATCCAGATACTTGTCAATCAGTTAATTGTACAATCATAGAAATTATTAATAAGTGTCAGCTATCATAATACACTTATATTTATAAGATAAAAAACTTGATATTTGACTATAAATCATTAGAAAAGAGAACAAAAAAGCACCACTTTTATTATTTGTAACGATATCAACATGATCCTCTTTTTTTCGGTATATTTATTCATATGTTAATTTCATAATATTTTATGGCGTTTCAAATAAAACTATTCTTTTTTGTTTTCTATTACTTAAAATACACTATTTCTTCTACTAAATTCATCTCTCTACTTTCTTCATACTTGTGTAATTCTCTTTTATTTCTTTTTTTTCATATTTTGATTTATCTTCAACTTATCTTTCACTGATCTTCTTTGATATATAGCATCTTATCAAATTGTATCATTCATTTCTTCTCACTTATAGGTCTTAGATTCCTATACAGATAAAACAATACATAATTAGATCTTGACAAAAACTATATTCATTACTTTAACAGCATTTTCTTTCCATGTAAAACAATCAAAAGACAAATGTTAACATTGAAAAAATATCAGAACTTGTTTTTTTCATTATTAATAATTTATTACCATTTGAGTTATTCAACGTTAAGGCCACCAACATAGTTACAAGCATTTTAGTGCAATTATATTTACTACATGGATATTTCTTGTTAGAAAAGAAAAATTATTTTATTTTTTTTTGTCAACAAGGTAGCGCTCATCTGATGGATTCGCTGACCCTTTTCTGAAAGAAAATTTTCTATAATTATAATTAACAAGTAATGCTTGTCCAGAGACTCGCTCAGCTCTTTCTTGTAGAAAACGTGTTCTACAATACTATTAAGCTTTTTACTTGTATAGTTTGCAAAAAGTAACATCAGATTCGGATTCCCCGACCCAGATTACCTTTGATCAAACTTTATAAGGAAAAATTTTTTTGTAAAAAAAGTAGTCCTTTGTTTAAAAAAATCGATACTCAAAAAAAATTTTTAAAAACTGGCACCAGATTCGGGTTCCCCGACCCCGATTACCTTTGGTCAATCATTTTCTGATGGTCAGCTATAAGTTTTCATTGACTTATAAAATGCTGCAATCTGATTGGCTGTTTGGACAAACAAACTTTAAGCATTTTAACGACCCTATTTAACGAGCCTATAACCCTTTCTTTCAGAAAAGGGAATAATAGGATACTCATAGAATGATAAACAATAAATTCTGATTGCAGTAGTATCTTACTTATATCAGACTCGTTTAATCCTTAAGAAATTTTGTTCCAAAAATCGAAATTAAATTAATATACACGATAATGTTCATAAAAAAAACGATTGATATGTGTTAATAATATAATTTGTCAAAAGTAAAATAGAAAAATACACACCATTGTTTGTTTTTTTTCATCATATGAATTTAATTTATAAGAGTCGATCTGATAATTATTCAGTTGTACATACATCAATGATAGACTATTATTTAGAATCTCTGCATTAATACATATATCCCATAATTTTAATTGAGATACACAGAGTTTATGAGTTGTCAGTACTTTAAACAAGTACTATTAGAAGTACTTTTTTTTGACTTCCAGTGAAGGGCAGCATTTCAATTACATTACAAGATGCTTTGTTGATGAACTTATTCTCCAAAACAAGAATAAAAGTGTTTATTGTAACTATAGTTTTTTATTTTCCTGTCAGTTAGAAAAAAAAGAAAGGTGTCCCAGGAGACAATACGCTCAAATATTTTTTTTATTTTTGTTCAAAAAAGTAAATGGAAAACATGATCATCTCCACTAATTAGAAAAAATATTTCTGAAACAAAATACTGAAACTATTTTCTTTTAAATTACTCTCTGGTGATTTGTATAAAATGAGTAGCTCTTTATATTGTTGACTGTTAGTTTGAAAGAATACATCCATTTCAAACAATAACATTTGTTAATGTAACATTTAAAGACAATAATTGTTTTAGAATCTGTTATTTCTTTTCCTAAACTTCGATCTATAAAATGATGAAAGGTAAAATTTTAGTGTATAGACAACGTTATACACTATTCTACATTTATCATCTACATACAACACATATTCTATTGATATAATAATATAGTTTAAGCTTTATCTATTTTTTTATTTAGATTATTCTATAAAACCGTCAAATAGGTAAGTATGAATATTCTATATTTAATACTTCAATTTCTATTTTTTTTATTTAGATATTTCAATCAAATCCTTGAACAGACAAATATAAACTATATCTATAAAACTCTTATTTTTTTCACTTAGACGCTTCAATCAAATTGTCGAATAGTCAAGTATGATTCTTATACATAGAATTCTTTGTTTTTATTTATGTTTCAATAATAACGTAGAGTCGATGAGCGTGGGTAGTATTAAAAAATTTAGTTTTTAATTTTTCCGTTTAGATGTTTCAATAATATCATCGAATAAAAACTAGACTTTTGTATACAAAGTTCATATTTTCTTTTTAGATATTTCAACTTTATCGTCGAATAGGCAAGCATGAATTTAATAGAATAAGTTTTTATTTTTATTTTTATTTTCCTTAGATATTTTAATAATATCGTGGTATATGTAAGTATAAATTTTATATATTAAATTTTTATTTGTTTTTATTTAGATGTTTTGCTGACGTCGTCGAAATGGTCAGTATGAATTAGGTGCATAGTTGTGATGGTATTTGATAAAAAGCGATGGGAAGTGAGAGAATGTGATGAGGAACGGTTGATTAGAAAAAGGTCAGAGATTAGAAGAGAGCGATGAAATCGATAAAAAAATATGTATGTAAACTCGCTTTAAAATCTTGTATGAAAAATAGATCTTACACAATCTTAGAATAAGATCGTACAAGAATCGTACATTACAATTCAAATTTTATCTGTGAACGAAAAGAAAACGGTCAAATACGGTGTGTTTTCGATCCGAAAACGATACCGTTTTGATAGGCCTGCATGGGTATATATGTATATGTGCATATATATTTATATAATTACAATAAGTTTTTAGAAAAGATTTTCATGACGTACTAGGGTCTAGTAGGAACTACTATGACCAATAGCTCCGACTTACCCACCTTCGCGATGATGCGCCATTTGAGTGTACAACAGATTCACCCATAAGCTCACACCCTCACCGACACGTCCACACAGTCACGCCTACATCTACACCCTGCTAATCCCTAGTAGTCCCTGGTTTCCGAGTATCCCTGATAACCTGTCAGTCCCTGCTAATCCATAGCAGACCCTACTAGTTCCGATTATCCTACTAGTCCCTGGTGAAGAGTGTCA